GATGAGGGAGTCTATGACAGTTATTCGTCTGGCAAAGCTTATAAATCCAGATCAAAAGCTTGAAGATAAGTAAAAGGGCCTCCATCCATCCACGCAGGTTTGAGCACTCAGAAGATACAAAACTATTTTTTATCATTGCACCATTCATGTTTTCTGTTACCACATTGCATTTTGAGTACAGGGTATGCACAGTGTAATCACTGTAAGAAAACATGAATTCCTTTATATCATTAAAAAAGATAAACTTAAAAGATAACTTCTTTAAGGTATCTGAAGGGCATGTATTCAGATCCTAATCTTGAATATTTAGACAAGTCAAACCTGTACTGGTTCATCCAGTAAAAAAAAAAAAAGAGATTACTATTTTAGGTTCCTTAAACCTAAATGTCATGAAAAGAAAGAAAGGGAAAAATTAGCTTCTTTAATGTTTTTTGAAACACAGAACCCACTCTGAGTTAATTGCTGAGAAAAGTGTAAAATGTTTCTTTTAAATCTGGGCTAAAATATGCTATGTTAAATCCCTGCTCCAAAATAAGCCAGTTTTGAATAGAGAAGTTTGACAACTGAAGATGCTTTAAAGGCTGGCTCTATGAAAAAAAAAAACTGTATAATTCTTTATTTTTTAATAAGAACTTTTAACTGTTTTAAATCTGAACCTCACAGTGGCACAAAAAAGGAAAAACATGAGACATCTCTAAAAGAGCAAATACTGCTGCTCTACCTAGTATTTTTCATAGTGACAGAATTCTTGGCTTTTAAAATGTGAAGAATTAACAAAATGTAGATGTAATTCTCACAAAAAGTAGATATTATGTGGCTACAAAAGGTTTATTGAATTCACTAAAATGTAATATTTGTGTATTAGACCAAGACAGTCTGAAGTGATGATCCAGTCACGCTAAATTTAATGGTAGATACTGTGTTGCAGTAATTGTGTTTCATCTTTTTGAATGTAATATCTTAAGCTGCAGAGTGTTTGGCTCTTAGGACCCTGGAAACATGTGCTTAAAGGCTAATGACGCAGAACATAAGATTCCAAAAGCAATATCCAAAACTATACAAGTAAAAACAGATGAAGTTAAAGGAGTGGAGAGGAAGAAACAGATGAAATAAGAAAAAGGCAGAACAGAAGAACTCAGTGTGTTAATAAGCAAAGATAGAGGGTGAAAATGAGGCCAAAGTCTTGTTTTAATCATGTGTGGGAGGATGAAAGCGGAAGTCTTTCCTTTTTTCCCCCCTCAGCATGAATATAAAGACTGTATGCACAAGTGTATGAGTTTGTTAAGGTGGGAAATAAAAGAGTTTGATCAATAACATCTAGAGTTGACAAATCCATGAAAATTAACTAAAGGGTACTTCTTGGCCAGGCGTTATCTTCCACCCTACCGACAATATGGAATTATTTTTCCCATTTCTATGTGTGGGAAATTATTTTGTAAACATTTAAATCAAACTTGAATTCAATTAGATACCTAATTTACTTTATTCATTCATTTTTCTTTACAGGGGGGGTGGAGGTCTAGTGGTTAGGGCGTTGTACTTGGATTCCAGAGTTTCAAGCCCCACTCCCACAGACTGCCACACTGGTTCCCTGAGCAAGACTCTTAACCACACACTGCTACCCGAACACCGCACAATGGCAGCCCACTGGTCCCCAAAGAGATGAGCTAAATCAAGAGAGTGAATTTCGTGGCTTTGTACTTTTGACAGTTTAATGACAATAATGTTGAATTCTATTCTATTCTATTCTACTTTCTTTCAGGTCCTTTTTTTAAGGTAGAGATCAAAACCCAATTTACATCCGAACCTTATCAGAGTACAGTATGTGTGCCTTACACTCGAAAAACAAGACTGGGAGCATTTATCTGTCATGGATTTATACATTTATCCTGTTTCAGACTTCTGAATGTGCCATCAGGCTTGTTACAAATGAGCCCTCTGAAAATATGCCCTCTAATTTCATCATCAATCCACAGAAGAATTGAGAGGTTATATTAAGCATGTGTGTGGGGGGAGTGTTTGTGGTCAAAGCATTGAGAGGAACAGGCAGACAGATGGGTCACACGGTTATCCCTCTGTGGGTCTGAAACTGGAACAGTTAATTACATCTTAATTAAATATGACCTGTGTGTCCGCCACTCTTCCTCAGCCACTGTCGGCATGTGTCTGTCTGTGTTTGCGTGAATGAGGGAGCCAGCACTGAGAGGTGATGATTGAGTGTAACATGAGTCGGTGTCAAGGGGAGCGTTTCCTAGAATTGTAAACACTTACGTGCATTCATGGTGTCCGTGGTGATCAATCACGTAAATGAAAGGCGTCAGAGGGAATAAACGTAACTGTCCAGTGGGGTAGTTACCTGCTGGGGCTATGAGATTATTGCAGTGACATGTGGTGCAGTCAGATTCCTCTGCATAAAAGCTAAACATTTGTTAGAGTTTATTTTTGCAGTCCTCTCATAATATCACTTTATGACATGCTCTTCGTCAGGTCAGGAACCGTTGGTTAGCATACCAACAGAGACAAAGTGGATAAATATGAGATGGAAGGAAAAGAATTTCATAGAAAATCTGGAAACTATATCATGCGTTTAGTTTTGTTTTGGTCAAAACTCTATGTATTTCTTATTTAGTAGAAGAATTTCTATGCTTTAGTAACCTTGCATTCTTGTGTGAAGGTGTGTAATTCTTTCAGGACCTTGCAAACCTTATCTTGTTGCATTTTACATATCAGTTTTTTTTTTAATGGAAAAATCTTTTTAAAGTTGCTTTGAGTTACCCCTCCTCACATCTTTTTGTCATTATTTTCCATAACTCGACTAATAAATAGATTCCAGAGAATCCAACTAACCTAGCCAGTCAACAGCGTTTAGCCATGTTTTGATTGATCTCTAAATCCAGTTGGTTTCAGCATTAGTCTGAGATTTGTTACAGGAAATTAGTTAACATCAAGCTTCAAAAGACCAACAAAAGCATCATGTCATACACACAAAACTATGTGGAGTAATTTAAGGAGTGTTGGTTATAAAGTAAGTTTCCAATGTCCAAGCATCTCATGAAAAACTGCATTCCATCAAAAAATAAGAAAAAAACTTAACAAGCACAACTGCAAACCTATCAAGAAACCCATCCAAATAGACTGACAGATTAGAAAAGGAGAGCATAAGTCAGGAGAGCAGCCAGGATACCAATGGTGACCTTGGAGGAGCTGCAAATTAGAACTTTATGGCGAAAATGGTATGGGGTTGGCAGCTGATTACCCGCATCCCCACAAAACACAGTGAAACATGGTGGTGGCAGCATCATGCTGTGAGCAATTGTTCCTTTGAATGCAGAGTCAGGACAACTGATCAGAATTGAATTGAAGATTCTTGACCTATTAAACTCAATCACGCAACTACAACCATTCTGAGATATAATGTTTATGAAATAAAACACCCATGGTCCATGTAGGCAACCGGTCACTTAATAAAGACAGGATGAACAGAGTGTTAGATTCTGCAAAACACCTGATACTGAAGCGGAGGCTTTAAACAGCCAGATAGAGGAGTTAAGATAAGGGATTTAGGGGACTGGAAGTATTACTGTTATAGTGTGGTGACATTTAAACAGTCAAATAGAGGTTGCTTCAATGACTTCATCACACTCACATTTAATACCTGTGTGAGATCAAAGCAGATTTACTCAGAATGCTTAGAAAGCTACTGTTTTCAAAGAGGTTGAACTATTTAAAACTTTTGGTCAAAGCTTAGGTTGCTATGTGTTTGTTTAATCATTCAAAATCCTAAGATTATTCTCCAAGTTTTCTTTGTTTTAATACACAAAACGTCAATGTAAAGGGTATTTTGAGGCACCTGTGCTGATAAAGATTAGAGGCACTATAGTTCCCAACAGCAGAGAGTTTGAATAAGCTGGAGCATTTTTACTTACAGACTCTAAGACAATGTCTCTTGACTTTATTATCTGAATCAAATCCACAGTTTATCACATAGATCCACATAAAACAAATCTTCTTTCTAACCCTTGAAATATTGACATTGCAATAATTCTGCAGTGTTGTCCGTGTGAGTCTTTATCAGCTGAAGGAGCCTGGAGAGATGAAGAAAAGCTACGTTTTCTAACTTAATTGCAAAAGGAAAGGAAGAAAGCGAAAATCGGCTATTTATAGACAAATGGGTAAAAAATTACAGCCATCTTTCTTCCAGCTGCACAGGACCGATCTGCCTAATTTACTGAGAGACATATTTTCTCATAGTTGAGCATTAATTACTAAACATTGCAGACCATGAATCCAGTAGCCTGATAAACTCTACAAACTGTTTGTTTGCTATAAACTTACAGCACCAAAATATTATTATTGCTATGACATATTGTATGTTTTTCTTGAATGAAGTGGCTTAGTGCTGGTCTTCTGGTTCACTAAAGAAATACATTATTGTTTTTAATACAGATTGACCTCCTTAGAAAAGCATGCAAGATAATTCACCCCTACTATGCTTAAAGTGTGCACCTTCAAAAACAACAAACTTTGTGAGAAACACAATGGAAAAACAATCAGAGGCAAAGTTTATTCGTTTTCTAGAACCTTAGAATGGGAACTTTACAACACAATCTTGTCCTTGTTGTGCACTGCAAGGATGCGAATGTCTGTCTGTCTGTCTGTATATATATAGATATATATATATATATATATATCTATATATATATGGAACTATACGATTCAAAAGGATCATTTGCATTAATAAAAGAAAAATGCTCAGAATGAGGCATAAAAGATATATATATATATATATATATTTATATATAGTATATTTTTTTACTGTAGGATTGAAAAAAAAGACAAAATCATCGACAAAAATGGAAGCTACTGCTATTAAAATAAGTAAGATAAACTGCTTACATACAAGAGTTTTAAATTAATTTAAAATTCCAAGTACTTATTACATTATTTAGTAATGTACTTAGTACATTCATTTTGGACAGAAAACTCAAACTAAATCCTACCGTTGTTGGAGCGCATTGCTCTTGCAGTGATGCCGTTCGTCCCAATAGGATGATGAACTCCAGCTCCATCCACCACTCCTGCCTCCCCTGGCTGCTTCAGAAGCTCTGTCAGAGTTCTTGCAAGAAAGACAGGACACATATAGGACAAATTATGTTGGGAATGACAGATCCTTCCCCATTAAAGAATAAAATATAGCTAAGGAAATTACAAGAGAAAATGCTGAAATAAACTAGGACTGCTTCAGCAAGGGGATAGATTGTGTCAAGACATGGAGTGGTAATAAAAAATAGAAAAAAAAGTACATTTTTGATTTTGACACATTATGGAACTATACAATTCAAAAGGATCATTTGCATTAATAAAAGAAAAAGAAAAATGCTCAGAATGGGGCATAAAAAAGAAGACGGGAGGAAGAAAAAGAGAAGTCTTTAGTTTTTTGCCAGTAGGGAGTGCCAATCATTTACAGAAAATAAATATATATGTGAAAAAATGTCTCCAGTTCTCTTTTTTAATCCTTTGAACAAAAGCTGATGTCTTTTCCAAACTGGAGCAGGAAAAGGCCTACTGATTTAAATCAATGGAAGAGTTCAGAGCCAGCTGCTGTAAACAAGGACTGCAAATACAAATCATTGTAGACACTGGGTTGGTTTCACTAACTGAACAGAATAATTATCATTTAATCATCCAGTGAACTGTGTAATCTTGCTTCATGTGTGAATCCCTTTGAGAGTTTCTTTGGATTCCCAAAATGTTAGGTCAACTAATATAATGCATGGTCCAGAAAAAAAAAAAAATCTGTGTTAAAAATACCTTATTTATATAATTTCACCCACTTCTGTACACCTTTCTAATTAAAGTCACTTTAATAAGTTATTGCTCTCAGGAAAGGGATCTGTAGCAGAATTAGCATTGTTGTTTCTGCATAATCTTAATTTATTATGAAACTGGAGCTAATTGTTTTGTTTTATTGAGTCATTCTTTTTTAAGAAAGACCCCCCCCCCAAAAAAAAGTAAAGCAATCACTCTGTTTCTGTTGACAAGGAAATTATAGCAACATGCTCAGCAAAACAGCTGTGACCTGAGTGCTGCTATCAAGAGGCCCGTGAATATTTCCTCGTCGTTAATCTCACAGTTGAAATCTTTCTCAAAGGCTTTCTAAAATGCATTAGAGCAATTCTCTTTTGATTAGCCTGCTGTGAAATACTTGTGTGTGCTTATTAGAGCGGTAAGCATTAAGACATTAGCCCAGCACAATGTTTAAACCCAACACCGCCGATGGTAAAAGTGCCAACATAGAAAGTGTGACATGTGTATAATGATAAATTTATACGTGGATAAAACAAGATGTTCACAAAAAAGTGTTTTGTTTTTTTTTTTCTTTATCCATCTAAAATTAATTAACACCAAACTTTTCCTATTTAGATCAGGCAGGGTTATTAAAGTAATTAAAATTTGCTACATTTCAAAGTAGGAACCAAGATATTTTTCTACATTCTTCGATTATAGAAACTAAGATATATACATTTTTTATTCCTTTAAAAAAAATTGTTAAAGCCTAGAGGATGACATCGATTTCTAAAGTTCAGACAGTCATAACAAATGGTTTAAATGGAGGCCAACCTGCAGGTGTGATTTAAAGCTGCACCTGAAACACATGAGAGCAATTTCAGGATACCTGAAGATGCCATGTTCATCTGTTCAACGATTACATTCAAGTTTAAAGTACAAGAAAATTTCTTCCTTGCCATACCCCTCAAAGTATGACTTCAGGGTCCCCACAGGTCACAGAACACATTTAAAAGAACTTCTGATAAAATATGATTTCTTTTAGACATCTTTCTTGGTCAGATAAAAGTAGAAATGGCTGAAACTGTGAAGTACAGCGGTGCCAGTGTCATGCTGTGGTGGGATTTTTTTTCACAGGAGGAGCTGTTGTACTTCAAAAATGAAATCACAGCATTTCAAAGAACATTGAAACATGAAACACAGACCCAACATCTCAGTAAATGGGCCTTCTAAATGACTGAGGGTGTAAACAAACCACCAAATTAGATATGAACTGGCACCAAGAAACCAAAGTCAGTGTTTTAAAGAGCCCATTACATAGCAGTAGTCTAAATCCCTATATGTTTGAATAATGAGGAGAATTATTTTAAATTTGAAAATATTTCAATAACATGCCCACAATTCCAATGCTTAGATTTTATCGAGTTGACACATTAGTGATTATAATGCATTCCACTATTCAATGAAGAAAAATTGTTTTAATCCTACTGTGAAAATAATTAACTCATATAAGTCTGTCAAGCCCGGAGAAAAATCCTTCATCTTTCTTCGCAGCTTTCTCAGTTGTTGTTTCAGTACTATTTTTCTATTTCTCTACGGCTCTGCAGGCTTTTTTCTTCCTTTAAAAAAAAGGCAAGCACCGCAGTCTCCTGCCGTCAGTCGAAGTAATTTCTGTGCAGAGCTCTGAAGGCTGGAATAAAGATTTTCCTAAAAGGGATTACAGTAATGCAAAAAAAAAAAAAAAAAAAACATGAGGAGATTAAAATAATGCTGTAGTGAAATCTGCAAACTGATCTAGGTTTTGAATAACACTTTATTTGTGTCTTACTATATGTTTGGGAGAGACTATTAGAAGTTCTTTGCTAGAGGAATAATATGAGATCACAATGAAGATTATACAAACAAAAAAGAAAAGAAAGAAGGAATCAGTTGATGGAAATGGTTGAGAGGCTTTGGTGTCTACAAATCATCGTAGATTAGAGGATGAATCCAACCTATGAAGTTTTCTTTTTTTTGTGTGCTTGATTATGAATATTTTGTCACCTCTCATATATTTGCTGTTGTTGAAATCAAATATATGTCAATTAGGTAACAATTTAAAGGCAGAACTCCAGAACCAGGTTAATTATTTGGCTCATCATAACTTTTGCCTTGGTTCATGCAATATTTTTGCAGTTAGTGAAAGCAAGGTCTATTTTGACACACCAAAAATTCTCTGTAGTATTGCTTGTCCGATTATCTCCTACCGGCATTGACAAAAATAAAGGTTTGGAGGATCCTCGTTTAAAAGGTATTTCTTCACACCCCTTGACATTCTGCTCACAGTTAAAGATCCATTAAGCAGCCCTTTAGTTGCACAATGACCAGCAGGACCCATTTTTTACTGGGAATTAAAACGGGAGTGCTGATTGAACTCATGGAGCTCAGCAAAATGCCTCTCAGATAAATTAACATCAGAGAAAACGTTTATTGGGAATCACATATCCCATGGGAAGACAAAGCACATTTTAATTATTTTAAAATCCATAATGCATATAACACTACACACAGTGACTCTGCATATAAAAGGGACTGAACTTAAAAGTCATTAGACATTTTTTTTCTTAAGTTTAAAGAAATTAAAAACGGCACATTCTGGTCAAGCAATGATGTAACACTGGAATAAACTGTAAACCTTTCAGTAAAACTAAATATGTCCCCAACCTGCAATAACAATATCCTATACATGTAACTTAAATTTGCTCCTTTAACCATTGTCTTTTTTTCTTTGGGTTTTAATCCTGTTTGAATATACAGAAAATGCAGAGCCTCTGGGCTTTTTTCCTGTTATGTTCTTATTCCACTTCTACTTTATATAGGTTACTTCGACTCTAACTTTCTAGTCTTTGTCCTTCATGTTTAAAAGTGCTGTACATGTTGTTCTCTACACTTTATCTCCTCAAAATCATCATCTTCTATGCTTCTTATCACTTTCATCTTAGCAGTTTTGCAAGTCTGACTCATCTTCACGCTTTTGTTATCTCCCCCAATTTTGATTTTATCGTTACAAAAGCCTGTATCTCTTGCTGTCTTAGTTAGTCTATATTATGTTGATTTTCTCTTGTTACTTCAGGTAAAAGTTCATTATGAAATGTAAATCTTTTTATGTCTTTTTCTCTGCTTACAACCATTAACTTTTCTAAGGATCTCATTGTTGTATCCGGTCCATCTATCAAACATAAACCCACATTCTTGTTCTTCCCTGTCTTAATGCATTTTTATTGCCCTAACTGAGGGCTGTAAGTTACACTATTGCAATATTTGCAGTCTTGATGTGACAAGATGAAAAATACGATTTTAGAAGCTTCTAAATCTGTTTGTACAGCTTTACCAGCACAATGATTGGCAGCTATAGTTCTCAATGTTTGCTTCTTTTACAAAGTTTTTTAAACTTCTGTTTATAGAGGCAATTTCACTGTTTATACTTTTATTCGATTTTTGCATTGGAAAAATACTTTAATGATCCCAAAGGAAAATGAAATGTTGGAACCCATTGGCATTTTTCAATGAGTAGTTATAGATGTTAGCTGTAGGGAGAAAGGATCTTCTGCAGTGATCTGTGTTTCACAGAATCTAGAGAAGCCTTTAAAGAAAGAAAATCTGTTATTGTTTTACAGTCCTCTAAAGAGAATGCTCACTGTTGTCCATATTTGTCTTGATTTTATAAAGAATTATTCTGTGTGAAATTATTTTCAGAGGTCCCAGCGGAGTTACTAGCACAGCTTCTCTATTATCTTGTTGATTTCCATTAAGTCATTAGCTCGGATACTGTTACCCCAGCAGATGATGGCAGAAGAGGTCACACTCCAAAACAGACTTACAGAAAATATGCAGCCTCTTACTGCAAACACTGAAGCTTCTTCTTTAGAAATCACTTTCTGCTCTGTCCCTTCTTGTTGATGGCTTTAAATGTTGAGTTTGTTGTCCAGGTGAACACCAAGGGATTTATACTCCTCCATCACCTCCACTTCTTCTTGATGTTAATAGGATTCAACATTTTCCTTTTTCCTCTGAAATCTACGATCATTTTCATGTTTTCCTCACATTCAGGATCAGATGATTACTTCCACACTATGCCAAAAATTGGTTTACTAGCTTTCTGTACTCAGCTTTTGTCTATCTTTGATGCACCCAATTACTGTAAGGTCATCTGAGTAATTCTGTAGATGACAGGACTCTGTCTTGTACAGGAACTCAGACATGTACAGAGCAAAAAGAATGGTAGGAGTATCATCCCCTGTTGTGCTCCTGTGCTGCTGACGACTTAATTATACAGTTGACCTTTCAGGC